ACCCGCAGGTCTGTCATTGAATGACCAGACAGGTTAAAGTGTTCTCCCACTGGTTTTTGAGTATTATGATTCCTGATGTCAGATTTGTGTCCATTAATTCTTTTGCGTAGAGACTGTCCGGTTTGGCCAATGTACATGGCAGAGGGGCATTGCTGGCACATGATGGCATATATCACATTGGTAGATGTGCAGGTGAACGAGCCCCTGATGGTATGGCTGATGTGATTAGGTCCTATGATGATGTCACTTGAATAGATATGTGGACAGAGTTGGCATCGGGCTTTGTTACAAGGATAGGTTCCTGGGTCAGTGTTTTTGTTCAGTGATGTGTGGTTGCTGGTGAGTATTTGCTTTAGGTTGGGGGGTTGTCTGTAAGCGAGGACAGGTCTGTCTCCCAAGATCTGTGAGAGTGAGGGATCATCTTTCAGGATAGGTTGTAGATCTTTGATGATGCGCTGGAGAGGTTTTAGTTGGGGGCTGAAGGTGACAGCTAGTGGTGTTCTGTTATTTTCTTTGTTGGGCCTGTCTTGTAGGAGGTGACTTCTGGGTACTCGTCTGGCTCTGTCAATCTGTTTTTTCACTTCAGCAGGTGGGTATTGTAGTTTTAAGAATGCTTGATAGAGATCTTGTAGGTGCTTGTCTCTGTCTGAGGGATTGGAGCAAATGCGGTTATATCTTAGAGCTTGGCTGTAGACAATGGAATGTGTGGTGTGTCCTGGATGGAAGGTGGAGGCATGTAGGTAAGTGTAGCGGTCAGTAGGTTTCCGGTATAGGGTGGTATTTATGTGACCATTGCTTATTAGCACAGTAGTGTCCAGGAAATGGACCGCTTGTGTGGATTGATCTAGGCTGAGGTTGATGGTGGGATGGAAATTATTGAAATCATGGTGGAATTCCTCAAGGGCTTCTTTTCCATGGGTCCAGATGATGAAGATGTCATCAATGTAGCGCAAGTAGAGTAGGGGCGTTAGGGGACGAGAGCTAAGGAAGCGTTGTTCTAAGTCAGCCATAAAAATGTTGGCATACTGTGAGGCCATGCGGGTACCCATAGCAGTGCTGCTGACTTGAAGGTATATATTGTCCCCAAATGTGAAATAGTTGTGGGTGAGGACAAAGTCACAAAGTTCAGCCACCAGGTTAGCTGTGACATTATCGGGGATACTGTTCCTGATAGCTTGTAGTCCATCTTTGTGTGGAATATTGGTGTAGAGGGCTTCTACGTCCATAGTGGCCAGGATGGTGTTTTCTGGAAGATCACCGATGGATTGTAGTTTCCTCAGGAAGTCAGTGGTGTCTCGAAGATAGCTGGGAGTGCTGGTAGCGTAGGGCCTGAGGAGAGAGTCCACATAACCAGACAAGCCTGATGTTAGGGTGCCAATGCCTGAGATGATGGGGCATCCAGGATTTCCAGGTTTATGGATCTTGGGTAGCAAATAGAATACCCCTGGTTGGGGTTCTAGGCATGTGCCTGTACAGACTTGTTCCGGTGCTTTGTCAGGGAGTTTTTTAGCAGATGGTGTAGTTTCTTTAGGTAATCCTCAGTGGGATCAGAGGTTAAAGGCCTGTAGAATGTGGTGTTAGAGAGCTGTCTAGCAGCCTCTTGGTCATATTCCAATTTATTCATGATGACGACAGCACCTCCTTTGTCAGCCTTTTTGATTATGATGTCAGAGTTGTTTCTGAGGCTGTAGATGGCGTTGTGTTCAGCATGGCTGAGGTTATGGGGCAAGTAAAGCTTATGCTCTAATACATTTGTTAGTCTCTAAGGTGCCACAAGTACTCCTGTTCTTTTTGCGGATACAGACTAACATGGCTGCTACTCTGAAACCTGTCACAAATCTAAAGTTACACAGCGAAACTTTTCCTTATATACATGTTTACTAACATCTGCATTCCTGACTATACATTGCATCATGTGCTTCATGACTTGCTTATTTATGTCTCAGGAACCAATCTCTGTACTGCATGCTCTATCCATGTGCTGTTCATGTATAAACTGATCTCTACATTCCAGGTTTATTTTGTCCATTATCCCTAGTACCAAGGTGTTTCTGCTTATCTTAGCTGTAAGTGTTGCAGTTAACTCATGGGTACAGAACTTTCAGTGAGAAGTGTAATTCTTCAAGTTAATGGTGTCCTTTAGCAACACCTTCCCTACAGTAAAAGGGGTATATAAGTCTAGGATGACTTTAAACAATGTTCACTCGGGTCAGTTTCCATTCTTCCGGTAGATGTGTTTTGGTTTCCATTACATTATAATCTTTTGTAGTTCTTAGTGTGACTCTGTCAACTTATTTTCTGTTTCTTAATCACTTCTGATGTGTCTGGCGTAATATCTATGCATCAACCTTTCTTATATTAATTTATCCTCTCATGATTATCTGAGGTTTCATTGTTTTTCTGTGTATTTTGAAACTTAGTAATCTTCCGTCTGTGTTTGCAGGGTTGGAAAAGACATTTCCCTCTACTCTTTATTTATGGCAGCTCACAATAGATTGGAGGCATGGCAGACACTTCCATCTGCTGTAGAATTTACCATACCAGATTAGACCAGTGTTCCATCAAGTCACTGTTAAGCCTTTGGCAGTAGCTTATACCTGATCTTTTTAAGGAAGACAAAGAAAAGCACAATACACCAGATCAGCCTGTAACATGATGCTTGGGATTTGATTACCTCTCTCTTGGCACATATAACTACAAATGTTATTGGCTGTAAAATTACCTAGCCCTTGACGCGCTGATGCTACTGTCCGTCAACCAGTGCTGTACTTTTCCAATGCAGCAGTTCTAGGAAGTAATTGATGAATCAAAGATAATAGTTATCTTAAAAGGGAGACAGTGAGGTTGATTGAGGGGAGATCTCAGCTGCCTTGTAAGTGGCTGTAAAGATGTCCATTTCCCTTTATAACTTTACAAGTTTTGTGACGCTCTTTAATTAAATGTTAAGTTCAAAGTGAAATAGATTTATCCTTTTGCAAACAGGAGTGATGCTAAAATATCCTATTGTTCTCTTACTTTGTTATTTCTCACCTTAATGGAAGGAGGAAAAACCTATTTCCCTTGCATCTGCATGTTTCAGGGAATAACGAGCAAGATTTTTTACCAGAATCATTTGCAGTAGAGTGCTGAGTGGCATATACTTCTGCCTTCTGTTTCTCCTTGCAAATTAACAAATAAAAACTGCAATATCAATGAATGATTCTTGTTTTCAAATGGCCTGCTCAGTATGAGCATTGTGTTTTTTCTTTTTTTTAAATCTTCATAGAATATATATATATATATATATATATATATATATATATATAAAATAAACACAAGAGACATTGTAGCCAGATGTGTGGCTGATAAGCATAATTCTATTGTAGAAATAGAAAGCTGCTAAACATAGAGCACAGGCACTGACCAGTATTAGTCCTTTCCTTCCATGTATGTTGTTGTCACTGCCTTTCATTCCTTCTGGACATAAAACATGTCCAGTCCCAGAGAGGTTTGTTGGGAAAAGTATGATTTTAGTCCTTCCAGTTGTTTATGAATTGGCAATGGCTGGCATTTGTAGCGTAAGATTCCAGCCAGTGAAAACTGACAATGACCAGGAAAATTCAGCTAGTCCTTTTCCAGAAGAATGGTGATACTGTTCTGGGAGGGATCTTGGAAATTAGGGGAGGAGGAGCTAACCAGATGATTTGAAAGGTGTGTTGATATTCAATATTCTGATGTAGGCATTGCCAGTTATGAATCCTGAAACCATCTCCCTGGTTTTAATCCCTTGGATTGCCCTCTTTGATACTATAATATCCGTTTTATTTTTATTTCACTATTTTAACTCAGCCACTCTTTTATTTACAGCATACAAGGAGTTAAGCAAGACAGTTTCATTAGCTATCATGCTGCACTGGAATCCTAACAGTATTTTTGTAACCACTGTAGTTAGGGGTCTTCTGGTGTTCATTATATTCAGCAGTTCATAACTTTGCTATGAATTTGCTTCAAGAGAAAAAAATAATTATTTCTGGTTCCCTTCTCCTCTTCTCTTTATATTTTTACACAATACTGAAGGTGGCTTATTCCTTAATATGCATATATACCCTCTGATATGGGACCATTAGTTATTTGTAAACAAGGACAAGATTTTTTCTTTTTAATTCTTACAAATCAGAATACACTTCAGTGGGTTTTTAAAAGACAACCTTTTCCTAATGTCTGACCGTTTTTATCCAAGTATCAATAGTAATATTACTTTTTATTTTTATCCTGTGCCCCAAGCCACTGAATTAAGTTTTGCAGTAACTTACTGAATATTATTTTCTTGTTGGAGGGTTTTTGTAACACCATATGTCAGTTAGTCTGTGTTATGCATCTAGTCCCATAAAGAAAAAGAGTTGAAATGAGGCTCCCCTGGGCAATGTCAGACGTAAATGAAGCTCAGAGTGTTACTCAACTCCACTGCCTCTTGGAGCTCAACTGTACTCCTTGGGAACAGGAAACAAGTGGATTATACAGAGCTTTATCTAAACTAAGATTTTGTAGAATTCGGAGAAACATGCACCTCAATTACCTGAACAGAAGTATTAGCTGAGTATGTCAGACTGGCTGTTGTGGTGTAACTCAGCTCTCCTTTTTATTTCCCATCTTGACTTTCCCTTCTTATATAGGCCCCGCTTCTCACTGCTGCTAGCACAAAAGGGCTTGATCAGTTCAGGGGATATCTTCCTCTTCCCAACAAGTATTGTTTGAAAGAAGCCTTGTGAGCCCAGGCATATTCCACTTTTTTTAATATTAAAAAATGAGTAAAACTTTTATTGTAGATGTATATAACTATGTATATTCACAGTGTGACAGTGTTGGGTCCATTCTGATTGCCAGGCTATAGTGTATTTCTCTTTTCCTGGTTCTAGTTGAAGAGGAAATTGTAAAAAATTGACACCTGGAAATCTTTGGACTGTTTTGAACAGTCTGTGACTGATTCGTGATCGTAACAAGGAGCTTGTTTTTGATCACAGGTACTCAGAAAGAAGTCTCACAAAGTGTGTTGGGATCACCATAGAGACCAGGCCTGATTACTGCTTGAAGCGGCACCTGAGTGACATGTTGTCATACGGCTGCACAAGGTTGGAGATTGGAGTGCAAAGTGTCTATGAGGACGTGGCCAGAGATACCAACAGGTGAGAAGAATATTTCAGAGTAAAGCTCAATGTGACTGCTTATTGTTTGTCTTGTGGAGTACTTTATAAGACGCCCGGAAACAAATACTTCAGAGTGCCAGCCTAATTCTGTACAATTTTATACTGATGTTCCTGTTCCATAAGTATTTTATAGTGCTGGGTACTGTCTTTATAGCTCTACAAGCTTGTAAAGTAAGTAGGATGTGCCCAAACAAACATCAGAATCCTTGTCCTGAGAAATTTACAATCCAAAGATTTCAGTAGGTACATGGTACATTAAAATCTGTACAAAATAATCTGAAGAGGTACCATATGTGCAGGAAGCATGGCATTAGGTCATGGTGGTCATTCCTGAAGGATTTTAAAGAAGAGACAGGGCACTTGGCACAGACCGAGTGTGAGGCAGGTCAGGTACGTGTTTATAATTGACACTCATCGCAGTCTATTTTATAGCCAGAAATTAAACCTGTTGATTTCTTGAATCAGGATCATTCTGCATATACAGTACTTTCAGAGGCCGGGAAGTGTACAAGTAAGAACTTCTTGACGGCTTCTTTGTGGCCCTGGACCAGTGATGACAAAATCACTGCCAAAGCACCTAGAATGTTATAGTTCATATTCTCGTAACCTGCTGGGGGAGAAATATGCTTCATACTGTTGCAGAACTGGGGATCCTGTTAACTTCAGAATACTTGTGTATTCAGAGATTTATATAAAGCTTACCTTCACCCTTATCACACACACCAGTTATTTACCTAAGATTTTTAATAAACCAATAGCATAAGTTAATTACAGAGAAATGGGAATATGGAAATTGGCTTAAAAAAAACTACCTTTTACCAAACTTAGAGGTGACAATTGTGCAGTAATTGAAAATCTCAGACATTTTCTTCTGGAGACTTGACATTTGAGTCTGAAGCCCCAAAGATTAGTCTTATTGTGGCTGATGCATGAAGGTACAGAATCTCATTGCTGCATGAGTACCAGATTCAATGCCTGACCAGATGAGCAAAGCTGTAATGTTCAAGAATAACTTTAGCCTATCAAGCAAACCAAGCAGTCAAGTAAACTAAATAATTAACCCTTATATAGCACTTATCAATCTTAGATGTCAAAGAGCTTTACAAAGGTAAATAGCAACGTACTGTACTAAAAAAATAGTAGCCACGTCACCTGATTCTTAGCTCAGGTACATTCATTAATGCTGATTTCTGCCACAGTCTTCAAGCTTATCAAGCCCACTTATCCCTGTTTTTCTACAGACCCTTTCACAGCTGTTGTGCCTATTCAGAGATGGATCTTTCAAAGTCAGTATCCCTGTTATCCACCTCTGTGATCTCTTTTTAGTTCCCATCCAGTTTTGTCCATCAGATGAAATGATTTTTTGCAGCATCTCTAAATTGCATGTCACGGCTGTTTTGAAAGTTTGCCAGTGAAACTGCAAATGGAGTTTCTGTTGCTGGCCCTGAAGAAGAGGAAGGTAGTAGGTAGCTATCTCTTTTATACAGAAGGAATCCTTTTTAAGATTAGATTTTTAAAGGTTTTGGCACTTTTGAAGATGCTTGCAATATGCCTAAAAGGTTCTGTGCTGTATTGTAGTCTGCTCATGCAGACATCCCCCTCCCACAACTTCTGTGGTTTAGAATATCCCTTCAGCTCTCTAAAACAATGAATTGAAGTCTGTTTTTTGAGCTGATTGATGGTCACGCTAGTCTCTCCTAAGGTGGTTCTGGTTTACTTTCATTCTTCATTTAGCATGTAGGGGTGGATTTTTGTTTTAGATGTTCATATTTTGCTTGTGGCTAAATGTCAGATTACAACCAATTAGGCTAAATGTTTGGAAATTACTTTTCCATTATGTAGTGTGAGTCATTAGTGGGCTGTTTGAGTGTTTCCAATTGCCGCAAGGCAGAAGAATATTCAAATATAAGTCCAGGCATCAAGTAGTTGAGTTACTGATGCAGCTCAGATCCCTCCTCTAATAAGGAAATAATTTTTATTTATGAAATGAGACTCCGTTGCCTCCCCCCAACCTACTCAAAGTGCCAGATAATTTCACCATAGAACAGATTTATAAAAACATCACAATATTTTACTAATAAAGTAAAACCACAGTCATAAAACCAGACACACACACACAAATGAGGGGAATCTTACGTGGTGGAGGGAAAAGAAAAGGCCCTAAATATAAGGGGAACAGTTCTTTGGTGATGGGGGTGCATTTATTTAGGTGGTGGTTGAAAGTGAGGCTGGGGGCTAAGATGGATATCTAGATGGAGTGAGTTCCACTCCGGAAGGATTACAATTCATGAAGGTGTGTAGGTTTTTTAATTAGTTTTTCTTCTTTCCAGGGGACACACTGTGAAGGCTGTGTGTGAGTCATTTCACTTAGCCAAGGATGCAGGGTTTAAAGTGGTGGCGCACATGATGCCTGATTTGCCGAACATGGGGCTTGAAAGAGATATTGACCAGTTTGTTGTAAGTATGGCTTAAAATAACCCTGCTTTTGTTTTGCCTTAGAGGATCTAAAACTTCTTCTGTTTCGTGGCTTTGCTAGTGGTTATTTTACAGGCCAGACTTTCTTCTTAAGGACGTGTACCTTAAAATTCAGGTGAAGAGGAAGGATGAGGCAGATTTGTTGAACTACTTCATCCAGAAAATGTTCTCCCTTCCTTGTGAAAGACTGAATCACTAAGGTCTCTGTGGAAGGTGAAACACAATGTTGCCTTTCTGATATTAATTAAGGCTTTTACTTTTTTGCAAGGTGGTTTTCTTTCTTTGGATTTAAAATTGTATATTTATCATAGGCAAAAGCATCTTGTCTAGGAAGCTGTTACACAATAGTATGTCTGTACAGAGCATATAGGGTTTCTTCTTGGCCCCAGTGCTATTCAGTATCTTCATCAAAAATTTGAAAGAAAATATAAAATAATTGCTGGTAAAGTTAGCAGATGACACAGAAATTGGCAGAGTAGTAAATAACGATGGAAACAGCAATCTGAATCACATGGAAAACTGGGTTTACTTGAACTTATGTTTTAATAGAGCCATGTACAGCCAAATGCAAAGTCATACATCTAGGCACAAAGAATATTAGGTCACACTTATAGGATGGGGTGAACTGGATTTTTGGAACTCAGAATAATGACTCTGTCGTCATTGTGCACAACCAACTGAGCATGAGCTCCCAGTGTGGTGTCCTGGCTAAGAGAACAAATATATTGGCTCTATAAAAGCAGAACATTGAACAAAAGTATGGAAGAGCTACTATCACTGTTCCTGGAATACTGTGTCCAATATCATGTGGATGCACTTCTGGCTAGATGTGTTTGCTTGTAACTTTCCAAGCAGAACCACATTTTATTTTCTACCTATATTTCTGACCTGAATCTTCCAATCAATTATTTGATTTTAAGGCAAGAAGGAACCATTATGCTCATCTCTGCTGACCTCCTGCATAAAAAACTATAGAATTTCACCCAATGATTCCTGTATCAAACCCATATATTGTGGTTGAGCTAGAGCCTCTCTTTTAGAAAGAGACATCCATTCTTGATTTAAAGAATTCAAGTGATGAAGAATCTATCACATACCTAGGTAAGTTGCTCCAATGGTTAATTACTTCCTCTGTTTAAAACCTTCACATCTTTTAAGCCTGAATTTATTTATTTTACTGGCTCTTATTATGCCTGTCTGCTAAATTAAAAAGCCCTCTGCTAGCAGAATTCTCCTCCCATGCAGGTACTTGTAGACTGATGAAATCACCTCAATCTTCTCTTGGATAAACTGAATTGACTGATTTTTCTTTAGTCTCCCACTGGAAGGCAGGTTTTCCAAATGTCAAAATCATTCTCATAGCTCTTTTCCGAACCCTTTCCAATTCATCAGCATCCTTTCTCGGACAATATTCTGAAAGCATCTGAGCAGGGCAAGATTGCTTTTGATAAGGCCAGAAAAAAAGGATGTTGCAGTAATAGAGATTCAAGATGATGGTGTGGACGAGGGTTTGACCTGTGCGGATGGATAGGAAAGGCTGTATCTTAGGAAAGACTGATATTGTGCACAAAGAATCTGCAAGCTTTAGATATAGCCTGGATATGAGGCGCTAGAGAGAGGTCTGAGTTGAAGATGATACCCAGGTTATGGGACTGAATGACTGGCAAGATGGTGCTGTTGTGCACAATGATCAAAAAAGGAGTGGTGCAGGAGAGCTTGATGGGGGGAGATTAAGAGCTCTGTTTTAGCCATGTTGAGCTTGATCTGATGGCTAGATATCTACGAGGAGTTGTTAGAGAGAGAGAGATGCCAAGATATTTTAATTTATATGCATCCGAAGAAGTGGGTTGTAGCCCACGAAAGCTTATGCTCTAATAAATTTGTTAGTCTCTAAGGTGCCACAAGTACTCCTGTTCTTTTTGCGGATACAGACTAACACGGCTGCTACTCTGAAACAAGATATTTTAGTTTGGACAGAAGGAGACAGGTCTGGAATAATGAGGTAGATCTGAGTCGTCAGCATAGAGATGGTAATTGAATTTTGGTCTGAACGTGAGATTACCTGGAGAGGAGGTAGAGAGGAAGAGGAGTTGCGACCAAGAACAGAAACTTACGGAACCCTGTATAAAATTGGAAGGGAAGGGGATGATCCTCTGAAGGACATGCTGAAGGAGCATGAGAGGAAAAGGAGAACCAGGAGAGGACAAACTCGCGGAAGCCTAGGGAGGACAAGATTTCAAGAAGTGGAACGTGGTCAGTGGTGTCATAGGGCGCCAACAGGTCAGGGAGAATGAGGATGGAGTACTGGTTCTGAGCTTTGGCTAGGAAGAGGTCAGTAGAGATTTTGGCATGAGCTATTTCAGTGGAGTGCAAGGGGCTCATTCCATGTTATAAAGGTCCTGGAATAGAATTGGAGAGAGTTACTCCAGACCGCGATTGTAGTCAGTGTGTTCAATGAGCTTAGAGGTGAAAGGGAGAAAGGAAATGTGGCTGTAGTTGGAATGGAAAGTGGGATCAAAGGGTGTTTGTTTAAAGATGGGAGAAACTAAAGCATGCTTGTATTGGAATGGTTTAAAGAGAAGAGTAGGGGAGAGGATGAAACTGAGTGCATAGGAGATCAGGGGATGGGATGGAGTCAGTGGGGCAAGTGGTGGAGGGGTTAGAGGAGTAGAGCAGCTGAGAAGTTTCTGACGGGGGGAGGAGGAGGAGAGTTGTAGAAGGGGAAGAGAGGGTGCATCAAAGGGAGCAGGAAGATCAAGTTGTGCTTTGTCAATTTTCTCTTGGAAGAAATTGGCAAGATCCCGAGCTGAGAGAGCAGTGGAGGTGGGAAGGATTTGTGGAGTGAGTCAAAGGTGGCTGGGATTGTGGGCATGGGATTCAACTAAGCTGAAGGAGGACAGTTATTTAGCTAAGAAGATGGCAGAACTGGAGGAGGAGAGAACAAATTTTATAGTGGAGGAAATCAGCCTGGTCACAGGATTTCCACCAGAGACACTACGCAGCATGAGAGCAGGGACAAAAGAAGCAGATGTTATGGGTGAGCGAGTCTTGGAGGTTGGTAGGATGGACCTTGCAATGGGAAAGGGGGCAGAAGAGTTAAAGGTGGAGGAAAGCGAAGCATGGAGAGAATCAACAACCATATCAATGAAAGAAGGGAAGTGATGGCAGTGAGGAGAGGGCTGAGAGCGAATGACAAGTCTAGAAGGCTGATTGACTGAAAGTCCTGGAAAGGTTGAGTAACAGGGTGTTTGGGAAAGGGATAGCGAACCACCTAAAAAGGATCCCTGATTCATTTTCTTGTAAGGTGCTCAGATGCCGCAGCGATATCTATAAATATCTAGAGAGATGAAAATCCCCTTGCAGTTTCAGTTGGATATAGCATTCCTCACTTTCTGCTTTGCAGAACTATTAAAAAGCTGCTGTGCTATATAAATGTTATTCCATATTAGTAAATATTTTGACATATTACACTGAAGTAAGGAGATTGAATGTGAAAAACTAAGAACAAAGCATTCTAATTAATCTGTTAATGTCTGTTATTGATCTGCTTGGTAATGTTGCTAAGAGTCATTAATTTTGCCACTTTGCACATGGTTTAAAGGATATAGCATCGCAAAAATTGTCATCAAAGCCCTTTATAAAATATCCTTAATTTTGCAGGATAAAATCACATCTGTCCCACTATACTTGTCTCTCTCTCTAAGGAGACCATAACATTTCTGGTTTTTGGTAGTTCTAAATAAATCTGGAGAAAATAAATCCATTCACTCACATAATAAATTTCTAGCTGTGGACTTAATCCCATCTTTCCTCGCATGATGGTGCCACCATTGCCTGTAAAATATTATGGACTCAGGCACGTGTCCGTTGGCCTGTACACACGCCATAGCTCTGCTTGTGCTCTGATTTGAGGGCATAAAGGGTGGCGCAGGCCGACGTCTCGCTAGTTTCTTCTCCCAGGGCTGTTTTAATCCCTTCAGGGCAGGACCACCCCGCTGTACTCCCTCTTAGGTTGGGGAACTCGCATGGGTGACTGTACAGCACATGGCATCTGGACCCTGCAGGAGTCCAGAATGCACATCAGTTTACTAGAACTCAGGACAGTCGGTCAAGTCTGCAATGTCTTCCTCCCACTCAGCGGATCCAGACATGTCCCAATAATGTCGGATAACATGACAATTGTATTTTGTATAAAGAAGCAGGATTGAATGAGACTTTAACATCTTTGCATGGAGGCAGTCACTCTCTGGAATTGGTGCATCATAACCCTATCAGCAGCATACTCACCAGTGCCGCAGAACTCCCCTAGCAGGCAGCCTAAGCAGACATTTTCCCACAACCCACGAATGAGAGATTCATAATTAAGCTCTCAACAACATCTTTGCCCAATAAGGAGAGCTGGCCTTGGACCTTTTTGCTTCTCAGGCAAACAAGCAACTTTCCCAGTACTGCTCCAGAGCAGCCCTGGACAAGGGCTCAATGGGTGATGCCCTTCTAATGTCATGGAAGGATCACCTCTAGCCACATGCGCTATGGCCCATCTGTCTTTGAAGATGGCCTTTCTAATAGCTATAGTATCAGCCAGAAGAGACAGTGAGCTGGAGGCACTCATGGCAGACCCACCATATGCTGTCTTCCACTGCAAATAAAGCTGCGGGACAGCAGTATTACATTCAGCTAACACGTCTCTGTCCTTGCACTTGCCGCCTGTTTAATTACTGCTTGTTAATCTCCCATTTGTGGAATACACGTAGGGACCATCAGTCGAAGAAGACATGGAGGTTACTAATCTGTAACTGGAGGTTCTTTGAGGGGTGTGGTCCCTGTCTATATTCCACTACCTGCCCTCTGTCCTGTCTGCGGTAGATTGTTTGGTCTGCGGTCAGAATAGAGACTGGAGAGGTGTTGGCCCTCACCACCCTTCAGTTTGGAGCACAAGGATAGCTACGGTGCATATGCGGGCCAGCAGACACGTCATGTGA